AAAAATGGATATACTATGATTCCTGAGGATTGGAAGCAAGTTTTCCGAATGATTTTGACTTCAATGCAATATGTTGTTTGGGAAAGTGAATTTATGAGACATGCTCAAGCCGCTGCTCTGGGAGGTGGGGGAGCATACACGGTGGAACAACTTTTTGGCTCAGGTCAATTTGCTACAATTCCTGCCCAAATTGGGCTTCCCCCGCCACTTTAACTATTGTTTCTGAATGTGCTTTTTGTGCCTTTTTAAAGGTTCCGCAGGCTGGGGAAGCACGAGCAAATTTTTCCAACATTAGACAGGGGGCTAGTGAGCCCTATGCTGATTTTGTAGAGAGATTATCTAAAGCTATTCGTCAACAATTTGATTATCAGGAGGCGGCAGGGGAACTTCTTCGGCAGTTGGCCATTGAAAATGCCAATGCAGATTGTAAGCGAGCCTTGCAGCCCTTAAAAGCTACCAATCATTATACTCTGGCTGATATGTTGCGGGTTTGCCAGGATATTGGTTCTCAAATTTATAAAATGCAACTTTTGGCTGCTGCTATACAAAAAGGGCAACGTCCTGCTGGCAATTGCTTTAAATGTGGTAAACATTTTCAAAAGGACTGTCGCTCAACTCCTGCAGCCTCTCAAAATCGCCCTTCTAAAAAATATCCAATTTGTAAAAGAGGATTTCATTGGGCTAATCAGTGCCGTTTTCAGTCGGGAAACTTGCCAATGGGTGTGGCACCCACCCAGAGCCAAAAGAGTGCCTTTCCCGTAGTCATGTCTCCCCCCTCCAGCCTCTCTTTTGCAGCCCCAGCCACAGCAAGTAGTGCTGGGCTCGATTTAATAACTCAGGAATCTGTGGAATTTAAATTTCCCTTGGAGGTTAAATTGATTCCTTCTCAATTTAAAGGCCCTCTTCCCTCTGGTTTAGTGGGTCTTATCTTGCCTCGATCTTCCGCTCATAAAAAGGGGTGCTTTGTGGTCCCTGGTGTTATTGATTCTGATTACACTGGAACTCTTTTTATTCAGGCGTGGGTGAACCTTCCCCAAACTCTTCCTGCTCAATGTTCTATTGCTCAATTACTTTTGCTTCCCTATCAAGTCCCGTGTTCTGGCACGGGCACGTGGGGATGCTGGTTTTGGTTCTACCTCTCTTTCTGTGGCTTTACTTCAATCTGTTACTTCCTTTCCTTCCCCATGACCAGATTTATGGTCATGGGGGATTTCAACCTGCCATCTGTGGGTGAGACGTCGGAGGTGGCTCGGGAGTTCATGGCTTCCATGACAGCTATGGACCTGACCCAGTTAATTCATGGCCCTACCCACACAGGGGGAAACACGCTGGACCTGATTTTTGTCTCTGGACAGTGGTCAAGTGATCTTGAGATAGGGGACATAGTCACCGAGCCCTTGTCATGGTCGGATCATTCTCTCCTTCGCCTTGACCTTCGAACCGCTATACCCCATCGCAGGGAGGCGGAGCCGGTAAAATGGTTCCGCCCCAGGTGCCTGATGGAACCTGATAGGTTCCAGATGGAGCTTGGGCCATTTCCCGAGGCTCTGGCACACGCCTCGACTAGGGACCTAGTGGCCGCCTGGGATAGGGCGGCCGCTGGAGTTCTGGATCGGGTCGTGCCTTTGCGGCCTCTGACCCAGCGCCGATCTCACCTAGCTCCTTGGTTCACTGAGGAGCTGAGGGAGATGAAGCGCCAGAAAAGACGCCTAGAGAGTAGTTGGAGGGCCAGTCTTTCTGAATCTGACCGGACACTGGTAAGATCTCATATTAAGAATTACCTAGTGGCAATAAAAGCAGCAAAATGTACATATTTTGCTGCTCTTATTGCGTCATCAGATAATCACCTGGCTGCTCTGTTTAGGGTAACCCGCTCCCTGCTCCACCAGGAAGCCCGGGAGGACCCCTTGGAGGGTAGAGCTGAGGATTTTGTTCAATATCTGCATGACAAAATCACTCAGATTCGGGAAGATATGACTCCAACTGGGTAGTTCCAGGGGGGATGACTGAGGCAGGTCTTGAGAATGTTACCTGGGGGGGGCATGTCCATGGCTGTGGCTTAGAAGACATTGTCTTCGTCTCTCTGCGGAATATGGAAAATTGAAAGAGGATGAAAATAAAATAAACAGCATTTTTGAAGTCCGATAACAACTAGGTGCGTTATTGAAGAGTTCCTGTCTTGGTTGGATTAAGATTGATGTGGTCAGTCACCCTGAACTGCTTTTAATTGAGGTTTTCTTTTAAAGTGCTTTCCCTTCGGGGGATAAAAGTGAGCAGAGGGGGTGATGAAACGGCGAGACGATAATTTAAAGAGGTCTGAAAAACAATAAATTAGAATTTAATTGTGAGCTGGATCTGCAAAAAATGTCGGCAGGGCGAAGGGCAGCAAATTAAGTTTTATGACTATGTTTGAATAAGATAAAAATAAGATATATGAGAGCTGCCTGAATGTTGGAGTCGACATAAACGTGGAGAACAGGAACCTTTTTTTTGGAACAGCCGAATATTTAAATGGCTTGTTTGTGGGATCGTCTGAAAATTTGAAAGCAATTATCCTTTTTTTTGAAGACACTGTGAAAATTGTGGACTAAAAGTTAAAAGTTTTAAAGTAATCTAAAGCATGTTTGCTGTTTGAAGTTCGCAGCGGGCAAAATGGCGCTGAGGAGTGTAACTGATCTTGATTAACGTGACTACAGGAATTTCACTGTTTGTATTTTACACTGCCTCTGGCGCAAGAAGCAATTGTAAGCAAGCCTTCAATAACTTGGACTTTCAACTTTTTTAAAATTTGGGACTCTTTAATGCTTTATTTGTCGTCTCTGGCTTTTTAAAGTGAAAGTAAAATAAGCCCAAGTCCTTCTGAAAAGACCCTTCTGAGTATCTATGGTACAGAATTGATGATTAAAGATTTTCCTCTACAATAATTTAACATCTTAAATACAAGTTGATGACCCATTGATTTTGAACTGTGAATAAGGTTATAGAAATATTTGGTCAAAAATTATAGGAGTTATTAAGATGGATCCATCTAAAGATGAATCGGTGCGATCTAAGATCAAACAGATTTCTCAAGCTAGTATTGACTCAGCTCAAACTGTGTTGGCATTAAACAAATTAAGTGATAAAATTGAAATAATGGATACAGAATTTCAAAAAATACATTTAAAAATGGATGAAGAAAAGAAGGAAAGATCCAATCAGCTGGAACAAATTGTTCAAGAAATTAATGTTAATTTTGCTAAATACACAGCAGAAGTAACAGTGATAAAAGATAATGTAGACCAACTACAAGTGCAAACAAAAAAAATTGATAAGCAAATAACTGAAATCTTTTTTAAAAATGAAAAACAGGATAGAAGAATATGTATTTTGGAAGAAGAAGTTAGGAAGTCCAACATTGTTATAAGAGGCATAGTGGAAGAAAAAGTGGACAATGTTAAACAACGTGTTTTGAAATGGCTTAATGAACTTGGATTGGATAAAAATTTTACAACTACAGATTTGATAAGTGTCTATCGAATTGGATTTAGAGGACAACGTGAAATAATAAGAAATGTTTTGGTGAGATTTGCAAGTGTTAATGATAAATTACAAGTAATGGCAAAAATTAGAGAAAATGGTGATGCTGTGCTGAAGCTAGAGGGAAAACAGGTCCAAGTCTTTCAAGATATCTCAAGAGAGGAAAGATCGTGGAGATATTATCTGAAGCCAATTACTAAAATATTAAGAGATAGAGGTATTAAGTATAATTGGAGACCACCACAGCGAATGAAATTTTTCTATAAAAATAGAATGCATATATTTACAATAGAAATGGATGTGGTCCAATACTTCCATGAGCTTGGCTTTTTGGAAAAAGAGGAAGAACAAAGTGAATTAAGATCACAATTACTCAAAATGGGTGGAATTGAAATATATACATCAACACCAGAGGAAGAAGGAGGGGCGGTCGGAGGTTTAGGTCCAAAACCAAAGAGGAAAAGAAAACCAATGAAAGATATTTCTCCATCTTTGGTGGAGGTACAGAAGAAAAGTCGAGATCTTACTGGTGAAGGAGTAGAAAGGATGATTACATTGGACTCTGAACATAAAAGGGAAGATGAGCCTGAGTGCGGGGATGAAGAACCTGTAGTTGTTCAATTGAAACCAGAATTACGCCAATGAAGAGATGACCCAGCTGATAGACGGGGTCCCCTCTCCCCCACTCTTGGAAACGAGGCGTGTCTTAATGAAGACGGTGGGAGATGAAGATTTTATGTGGTTGTGTGTTATGTTAGTTTTTGTTTTATGTTGTTTGTATGTTTTATATTATTTTTATTTTTTTTTTATTTTTTTTATGTTATGTGTTGTCTATATATATTTGTTTGGGTTTTGGGTCACAGAAAGGAAAAAGAGGGAATAGAGAATGTTACCTGGGATGAGTTTGATCCTGTGACCCCTGACGACGTGAACAGGATTCTGGGTGGACTGAACGCGACATGTTTATTGGACCCGTGCCTCTCCTGGTTAGTGCTGGCTTCCTGGGAGGTGATGCAACGCTGGCTCCAGGGTATTATAAATGCTTCCTTGGGTGAGAGTGACTTCCCCGCCGCCTTGAAAGAGGCGGTGGTGAGGCCTCTCCTCAAGAAGCCTTCCCTGGACCCAGCAGTGTTGGCTAATTATCGTCCAGTCTCCAACCTTCGTTTTGTTGCGAAGGTTGTTGAGAGTGTGGTTGCGCGACAGCTCCCCCAGTACCTGGATGAAACAACGTATCTGGATCCGTTCCAGTCGGGCTTCAGGCCTTGGTACAGCACGGAAACGGCATTGGTCGCATTGGTTGATGATCTCTGGAGGGCTCGGGACAGGGGTTGCTCCTCTGTCCTGGTCCTATTAGACCTCTCAGCGGCTTTTGATACCATCGACCATGGTATCATGCTGCACCGGTTGGAAGAGTTAGGGGTGGGGGGCACTGTATTACGGTGGTTCTCCTCCTTTCTCTCTGACCAGTTGCAGTCTGTGTTGGCAGGGGGGCAGAGGTCGACCCCGAGCCCCCTCATATGTGGGGTGCCACAAGGGTCGGTCCTCTCGCCCCTTTTGTTCAACATTTATATAAAGCCGCTGGGTGAGATCATCTGTGGTTTCAGGGTGAAGTACCACCAGTACGCTGATGACACCCAGCTGTACATCTCCACCCTGGACCACCCCAACGATGCCCTTGAAGTGATGTCCCGGTGTCTGGAGGCCGTGCGGATCTGGGTGGGGAGGAACAGGCTCAGGCTCAACCCATCCAAGACCGAGTGGCTGTGGTTTCCGACGTCCCAATATAGTCAGTTGATGCCATTGCTCGCACAGAGTGGGCCTCCTCAGGGTGCCGTCCGCCAGACAATGTCGGCTGGTGACCCCCAGGGGGACAGCCTTCTCTGTAGCGGCGCCCACCCTCTGGAACAACCTCCCCCCAGAGATACGTACAATAACAGACCTCCGGATTTTTCGTCGGGCCCTGAAAACCTATTTATTTCAACTAGCTGGGCTGGCTTGAGTTAAATTTTAAATTGATTTTAAATTGGGTTGTTTTAATTTACGGTCAAAATATTTAATTATTTTAAACTGTTTTTAAATTTTGTATGTCCTGTTTTTTTTTTACTTTGGCTGTTCACCGCCCTGAGTCCTATTTGGAGAAGGGCGGTATAGAAATTGAAACAAACAAAACAAACAAACAAACAAACAAATAAATAAATAAATTGCTGACTATTGGGTGCGAATCGCTGGCCCCCACGGAGAGGGCTCGCAACTTGGGTGTCCTCCTGGATTCACGGCTGTCTTTAGAAGAGCACTTATGGCCGTGACTGGGAGGATTTGTCATCAGGTTTGCCTGATTCGCCAGTTGCGTCCCTTTCTGGATCGGGACTCCCTACACAGTCACTCATGCCCTCGTCACTTCCCGCCTGGACTACTGTAACGCTCTCTACATGGGGCTCCCCTTGAGGAGCACCCAGAGCCTCCAACTGGCGCAGAGTGCGGCCGCGCGGGTGGTTATGGGAGCAACATGGCGCTCCCGTGTGACACCTTTCCTGCGTGAGCTGCACTGGCTCCTGGTGGTCTTCCGGGTGCGCGTCAAGGTTTTGGTTACCACCTTTAGAGCGCTCCATGGCTTAGGACCTGGTTATTTACGGGACCGGCTACTACCACAAGCAGCCTCCCACTGGCCGGTACGCTCTCATAGAGAGGGGCTCCTCCGGGTGCCGTCAGCTAAACAATGTCGACTGGCGGCCCCCAGGGGGAGGGCCTTCTCTGTGGGGGCACCCACTATCTGGAACGAGCTCCCTCCAGAGATACGGAGGATCCCAGATCTGCGCACTTTCCACCGTGCTCTTAAGACTCTCCTATTCTAGCAAGCCGGCCTAGCCTAATTTTCTCCCGTTTTAAAATTCTTTTAAATCGAAATTTTAATCTGTTTTAAATTATTGGGATTTTTAATTGTCTCGGGCTAAATTATTTAATCTGGTTTTAATTATGTTTTTTAACTTTTGTATCTATGTATTTTATTTTGTGCCTGTTCACCGCCCTGTGTCCTTCGGGAGTAGGGCGGTATATAAATCTAATAAAACAAAACAAACAAACAAACCTTTCACCCTTTGTTAACTCTCTATTTGAATAAGCAACCTTTTCAAGGGTTGCTTGATACCGGAGCCGATGTTACTGTTATTTCATCTTTACAGTGGCCTGTGCAATGGCCTAAGAAAGCAGTTTCTTCGCTCTGGATTATAGGTGGTTCTACTGCTGCTTGGCAAAGCGTACAAGATATCCAATTCTCTACCATGGCTGGTAAGTCCTTTGCCCTGCAACCTTATATTTTGGATATTCATACTAATATTTGGGGTCGGGATCTTCTTTCTTTTCTAAATGCTTAATTGATTTTGGATGATGGCTCTTCCCCTTAAATGGCTCTCTACCGGCCCCGTGTGGGTGGAGCAGTGGCCCCTTTCAATGGAAAAATTATCTACTTTACAGCAACTTGTTCAGGAACAATTAGCTGCTGGTCATATTGAACCCTCTACTAGCCCCTGGAATACTCCTGTTTTTCTTATTAAAAAGAAAAGTGGGAAATGGAGATTATTGCACAATTTGCAGAACATCAATAGGTGTATCCAACCAATGGGTCCGTTACAATGTGGTCTTCCTAATCCTAATTTAATTCCTAATTTTTATCAATTGTTGGTTGTTGATTTAAAGGATTGTTTCTTTACTATTCCGCTTCAACCACAGGATAAAGAAAAATTTGCTTTTACTGTTCCTGTATGTAATAATAGCATGCCAACTAAACGATATCATTGGCGTGTTTTACCTCAGGGTATGCTTAATTCTCCTACCTTATGTCAACATTTTGTTGACGATGCACTTCAGCCATTTCACAAGAAATTTCCATCTTATTTGGTTTATCATTACATGGATGATATCTTAATAGCTGCTCCTCAGTTTGATTCTACAGCCCTTCTGCAGGAATTAAAAACTATTGTTGCACAGAAGGGGTTGTTTATTGCAGATGACAAAATTCAGAAAACTGAACCTTACTTATACTTGGGTCATAGATTACTGAATGCTTCTTCCATTCCAGTATTGCCCGACTTAAAGATACAAAAGTCTTACACTTTAGTTCAATGGCAAAAGTTGCTAGGCATTATTAACTGGGCTTGGCCTTTCTTCTGCATAACAACTGGTGATATGTTACCTCTATTCCAACCCTTAAAAGGAGCGCAATCCCCTGGTGATACAGTTCATTTGATGAATGATCAAAAAAAGGTGCTTACAGCTCATCTTGGACAAAATTAAGCAACAATATTTTGACCAAATTGAGTCAGTAGACGCAGGTCTGCGGTTAGCTATTCTTCCTACTTCTCCATTACCTACTGGGTGTTTATATACCATTAAGAGCACATTAAAAATAGCTATTCATGAGTGGTTAAATTTATCTGCTACTCCACCTAGAAACATTTATCCCTACCAGTCTGCCTTAGAAAAATTGATTATAAAAGGCCGAAAGCGCGCTTTGCAACTGATTAGACAGGATTTGATAGGCATTGCCTTCACCCGTACAAAGATTGAGCATGATCATCTTACGATGATATCTGAAAGTTATCAGATTGCCTTCTCCAATTATCTTGGAGAAGTTTTATATTCATTACCAAAAGATCCTAGAATTGTGGTAACTACTACTTTAAACCTCTCTTTTTCTAATATTTTTGTGCGTACACCTTTTGTTGATGCTCTGACAATTTTTACAGATGGCTCACCAAAACGAGGGGTGGTGGTCTGGCATGCTGACTCCCAATGGCATTCTAAATTGACATCACCTCAGACTTCTGCTCAGCGGGCTGAATTAGCTGCTGTGATATTAGCCTTACAACTTTTCCCAATGCAACCCATTAATCTTGTAGTTGACACACAATATGTTTATTTAGCTATGCAGTCTTTACCATTATCTTATTGTGCATTGTCATTAGATATAAATTTGCTAGCTTTGTTTTTGTCTCTTAAGCATCATTTGGAGAATCGACAATATCCCTTATACGTGGAGCATATTCGCAGTCATACTCCTTTTAACAATGCCCTTACTGAAGGTAACCGCATTGCAGATGAATCCCTTAAGGAAATTGCTTCTTTATTTTCTGATCCTGTGACTAGTCATTCATAGTTTCATCAAAATGCAAAATCTTTGGCAAAACAGTTTCATATTCCTTTGGCGCAGGCTCGGGATATTGTACGAGCATGTCCCTCCTGCCAACAGTCAGCCATTCCATTTCCCAGTGGGGTCAACCCTAGGGGTATCTTTGCCAATCAAATTTGGCAAATGGATGTAACACAATTCTCCCCTTTCAAGCCATACGATAAACTGCATGTTATTATTGATACTCATTCTCATTTTCTTTGGGTTACTGCATCCCGTCACGAGCGGGCTCAGGATGTCACCACTCATTGTTTAGCTGCTATTTCAATCATGGGCCGCCCTGTTCAAATTAAAACTGACAATGGTCCTGCATATATCAGTAAAGACTTTAGTCTTTTCTGTCAGCAATGGGAAATAACCTTAGTCCATGGCATTCCCTATAATTCTCAAGGACAAGCTATTGTGGAACGTGCTCATCGAACCTTTAAGTCCTTTTTGCAGAGACAGCTGCAGCATGAGTCTGGTCCATACCATTTGCGAAAGATTCAACATTTACTATCTGTTGCTTTGTCTACCTGGAATTATTTAACTCTTTTAGATTACTTTTCAGATGTTCCTATTAATGTTCATTTTCGTGCAATAGAACCACCTACAAGACCGCTAGTAAAGTATTGCCTTGCTTCTAACGCTGAGTGGCAGGGACCTGCTCGTCTAATTACTTGGGGACGTGGTTACGCGGCAGTTGAACTCCCCAGACTCGCCAACCTTTGTGGATCCCTGCTCGGCACATTCGACCCTATCATGGCTTGGCATCAGGGTCTGCACAACCCAATTCCCAACTTCAATCTGAATCTCAAAACAGAGGTCCATCTTCCGAAACATCAACGACCCCTGCCAATCACATGGAGGCAAGTGAAGGCCACAACATACCAAGCTCAACAGCAATTGGCTCAAGCCAACCTACCTCAGACTCCTGAAAATCTAGTTGCTGCTGTTTTTGCTATTATTACAGCTAATTTTGTCACAATTCTTTTTTGTATTCTCTTGTCTTCTCTTGGTTCTGTTACTGCTTTAAATGACACTCAGCCTATACAACTTAACCCTAATCTCTGGGTTCGTCATGCTCAATATATGTTTTTGGTTCACGGTACTAATGTCACCCTGTACTATGAGCCTCCTATGGCTTTTGGTCAAGTTGTTTTCATACCTGATTTAATATCTTCTTCTTCTTTTATTGTTTCACAGCTGCAAAACATTCACCATTCCTGGTTGTTTTCCAAGCCCCCAGCACAACTTAACTCAGTTCACTGGCGTTATCTTCATACTAATCAATTTACTAAAGGTTTATGTTTTTGTTGTTATGCTCACCATACTTGGCTTAACAATTGGAATGATTATGCTAAGGCTCGACGCATTTTATCGAAAGTAGGGAATTATAGCTATTGTACTGGTTATTATTGGTTATGGGGAACCTTTAATTCTTTATTGTATGGACCTAATTTAGTTCCAGAAATGTATCCTGATAATTTTCATATTTTTAACGCTTCTGATATGACTGATACTGAATCCATTTGTGCTAGCTGGCAACTAAAGGATCCTAATATGTGGTTCTTTTTTGACAAATATGCAACCAAAGTACACCCTCAGAACTATCAGTGTGCTGCTATTGGCTACTTTTCCCTACCTGTGCAGATTGGTGCTCTCTTCTTCTTCCTCACAACAACGCCATGCTCCATTAGGTCCTACATGTAATGATGAAGTCATCATTGATACACAACTTTCTTCTTTAAATACCTTTGGCCGTGCTGTGGCTGGAACTATTACTGGGGTGATCACCTCAAGGGCTTACCCTGGAATAATAGCTCAAGAAAATAGACGTTCTATCCTGGGCTTAACATGTCGCCTGGAGAAATCAATTAATGTCACTGCTGCTATTGTTCGTGATCTCCAACATGAAATTGAGGACTTGAATCAGGATGTTCTCCAGCAACGTTTTGCTATTGACTATTTGTTAGCACGACAAGGGGTTTTTTGTAAACTTGTTGGCCATCGTGGATGTGCTGTTCATTTTCATTTCTTGAATAAGACTATTGAAGATGAACTTAATGAACTTCAATCATATTTTCAGAATAATGTTCATGCTATTTTTTCTCCTTTTGACTGGTTGACCAATTGGCTTCCTGATTGGTCCTGGCTCAGACAGTTATTTATGTGATTATCCTTCTCATTTTGATTGCTTGTTGTTGTTTCATTCAATGTATTCCCTCATTAATTGCTATGTTTCGTCGTACCCCCCTTTCTCTGTCTCCTTCTCAAATGCATTATATTCAAAAATCTTTGTTCCCTCAAAATTAAATAAAAAGAGAGGACATGTAGGAGTTTGCATATGTGCAGGAATTTTCCTATCTTGGAAGGCAAACCTCAGATGAGGAAGGTTACATGCACGTAGGTGCCAGGAAATGGCATTAGAAAATAAGACCCTAAATCTGTAAACAAGAGGAGCAAGAGAGGAGGAAATGGGATATGTTATACTTTAACTATAGCTAAACATTATAAGTTCTTAAGCAAGCAGTAATGGTTAACCAAAGATTTAAGTTACCTGGAAGATTCTGTGACCAATGATATGCTGCCAAATACGCTGTAACAAACTGTATAATGTCACTCTGTAGAGCAATAAATTACCACATATTTCCTCAACCTTTCTGTGTGTGGTCATTTTCAACAATTAGATTGCAAAGCCACCCAAATCAAAAAATATTCTGGGCAATGTACAATATCAAAAGCAAATAAAAACAACAATTTACATAAAATTATAACAACACAAAAGATTAATATCAATTAAAATTGTACATACTACTTTGTTACTATCTGATTCAATAAATCATTAACATTTTTTCAGTGTTATACTTGTACCACAGTTCATCCGAAGAACTTAACAATTTGCTTCATACAGGACTTACAGAAAACAAGTTATTCTGAGATCTTTTTAAAAAATTTTTGATTTATATGCCGCCCTTCTCCAGAGACTCAGGACGGCTTACAATGCATTAAACAATAGCCTTCATACTTTTGTATATTTTTACAAAGTCAGCTTATTGCCCCCACAAACTGGGTGTTCAATTTACCTACCTTAGAAAGGATGGAAGACTGAGTCAACCTTGAGCCTGGCAAGATTCGAACTTACTAATTGCAGACAGCTGGAGTTAAATTACAATGCATTAGTCTGCTGAGCTATCCAGGCTCCAATCTTCAGAAGTTTTCAGATGAACTCTCTAACACTTTGAATTGGGTAGTTTTACCAAAGGACTCTCCTACTTGAAAAGTAACACCAAACCTCTAATAAAGAGTTATATATGTGCAAAAATGATTTGGAACTTTTGATAAATGCTGGAGCCAAGTACATCACCCCTTAAACCCATCAAGTCATTTTTTCAGGCTTTGATATAAATGGAGAATAACAAGAGGATTTTTATTGCAGCCTAAATTTTTATTTTTAGATACTACTGTATTGCCTCAGGTTCCCATGCTGTTTACTTGCTGTTGCTCCTATAACTATAGAAGCTTTATGGAACCATTTGTGAAATGGTTGATAAAGTGATTTTTTAATATCGGAAAAATATCATTTTTTAAAATAAGAGCGTTTCATTTTATCACAAGTTCATAGTTGGTTATTTTTTGGAAACGAAAATCTAATGAATATACATATATAGTAAAATATGGCTTGGGAATATTAGCAATTAATTTTATTTCTAGTTTGTGTGAAGAAATGTTTAGGAGCAGGGTCAGAGGATAGCATATGCGCACATACGTATTTTTATAAAACCAGTGGCTGGAAAACTAACGTTTATAGGTTAACATGGTATACAAACCAAGTTGTGTTTTATAAAGTATGATTAAGCTAATACAGGTTTAGAATAATGATGATTAAGGACCACACACCAAGTTAGAAGCTCGGGCCAAATTAGCAATAGGCACACACCAATGAACTCTGAGCAAAATCGGTATCAAAGGTATGGTAGTGAATTTCTGCAATTTACAGAGTCTCTTTACACAGACATTTAGCACCACTGAGGTAGAATGGTATTAGGAAAAATTATAGTAGAGTTCTAACGAGACATCCCTAAGCAAAGATACTTCCGGTTTGGTCGTAAACTTACGGCCAACAGCACCACCCATTCGGCAGCCAGCCGAAGAAAACGCGCTCTGCCGCTATATGCCCTTCCTTACACGCCGGTTGCATCAGCCAGGCCCGGGGTCCTTCTTGAGCAGTCCACCATATTGCCTGACCCAACCTCGAATTCTTTCCAAATTTCTCCCTGGACAAAGCAAGGCGGCAAGATGTAACTCTGTTCCTAGATATTTTGTAGCATCGTCTGGGAGTAAGCTGCGTGCCCCTGAAATTAGTGGGTTCTGTAGGGAAAGGTCAGGCAGACTCGGCGGTCTTCTAACTTCCTTTCAGGCAAGATGGCGGGGACCGAAGCGGGAGTGACACTGGGGCAGCCGCATCTTTCCCGGCAAGACTTGACTACTTTGGTAAGAAGGGAATTCGGAGTAAGGAAGACACGTCAGCTAAGGAGTGCAGCATTCCAATGGTTGCCCTATGCTGGTTTTTTGCCCGGTACTCGAAGGCTGGGTGATGGTCGGGAGTTCAGAAAATCTGCCTTGCCTTGCTTGTCTTCTGCTTTTTCGTTCCTCTCAAAGGGTAGTTAGATTGGGAAGGAAAGGCTTTATGACGGTGGGAAAGAAATCTCCCAAAAGTTCTCACGCTTCTTCTTCCCTACATACAACAATGTTACTTCATTTAGTACGAAAGTACAAAGCCATAATGCCAGGCAGAGTGACATCCTACCCTTACAAGCTGGTTCCAGCGAAAGAAACGTGATCTCTATCGATAATTGAATTCCGACGTTATATGGTTGTGTTCAGAGAGAATATTTCCCTCTCTTTCTGCTTCATTCTGTAGCGCAATCAATACAGGGTAGAACAGAGAGAAGCTGAGTTCCCATTGCATACTGTACAGTACTAGGTTATGCTTTAGTTATGTTCGGTCAGGTTTGCATAAAAAGTCACACAATACTATAAAGTTAGAATGGTAGTACATTCCCAACCCACACCTGGCCTTAAGTATACCAGTAGTAGCTGCGATCTTCAATGCTACTAATGATAATTATGAAAAATTGTCAGCATGGTTTTCATTTCATTTTGGAAATATATATTTACTTAGCATTTGACAATAAATTGGGTAAAAGTCTTTGAGTAAGGATGCATTAACTCATTACCCATTGCAACAAACACATTTAAATTGTCGTGTACTAAAATATATTCAAAAATCTATAATATTCTTATTATGATGAAATTGAATAAAATTTGCAATGATAATTTGTTGAAATGACATAAAACTCATTCAGTTATATTTTATTTTGATTTATTTTGATTTATTTATTTTGATTTATTTATTTTATTTTGAATTTATATCCAGCTCAACTCACTGTTAGCAACTCTGGGCTGCCTATAAATTTAATAAATCAGTATTTTTATAATATGGATAGCCCTCAGCTTAAGACCATTCATTCTCTTTTGAAGTTACAATGGTGTGAAAAGAAGGGATTTATGACCAGTTGTCAAAGTCTGATAATACTTTCTGATAAGCGGTTTGGGGTAATGAAAGAACAGTTTTGCAAAGCACTGTTAAAACCAAACCAGCTTCATTGTGATAGGGTTTCACATTGTAACTAATCAGATTTTATTTGTAGATCATTGAACAAGTTGGTAGGTTTTACATTAATTGAATCTTGAACCAGATACTATAAGCTACAAACATTAGGCTTATATGCTAAATGAAACACATTATAATAAAGCATGGTGTAAGGAATGTCTCTTAATCTGTGAAATAATAAAGCATAGTTTAAGGAATTGCCTCTTAATTACTTGCAAGAGCTGTTACCATCTTTAAAAGAGAAGCTAGCTGTCATTGGTCTTGTTGGAAAAGTAAAACAAGCTGTGGCTTTCATTGCATAGTGTGATTTTGATTTTTTTTTTAGATATTTGTGGCATATAAAATTGTTTGGAATTCTTACACAGAGAGAATATGCTACCCAGTTACATTGCATGTTTGGCAGTGTGATGTATTTGTTGTTTGCAACTGTGGTTGTGATCTTATGATAAATAAGTAAGCTTTTTCCACTTTTCCTCCTTGAAAAATAGGACTATGTTAATTTTACATAAGGAACTTGTTAGGATAAATATAAAGAAACACTAGCTCTTTGTTTTTTCCAAAAACTATATACTTTAATTGATTCATTTTTAAACATACATAAAATAGTGTAAAATAAAAACAATTTACAGTGTAGAAAAACAAAAGCAAAGAAAAACTTTACACAAGAAAATAATACGCAGAAGACACAAACTGTAATTAAAATTATATCCCAACTAATTTTGTAAATCTTTAAAATAAAAACTCAACATTAAAAGCTTTTTAATATTGACCAAGCCTGTTCAAAAGGGTTTCCAAAGGGAAAGATAGGTCATTTTCCTGATTAACCACATACAATTTTCTCAAAAGTTGGTAACAACTCTGAAATTCCATTCTTTATGTCTTGAATTATAGTATTTTCCCATCTTCTAAGGATATTTCTTTTGTTATTATTAGAGCACAAAATTCATCTTTGTTCTAAACATATTAAATTCCAAAAAGTTGGCATGTATTCAGTATACACATGGTATCTTTAAAAAACAATTTTCTCAATATTTCTGTCAATGTATAAATTTTTTACAATGCCAATGCAAAAGACCCATTCTGAAAGATTATAGATGTTGTCCAGTAGATATGAAAAACAATATTTTGATAAAATAAATTCAATTTTGAATCACAGGACATCAATTTGAGGACTTTGTATTGTGCACAAGCTTTATAGCTAATTATCATGTTTATAGGATAATTATAAGATAAGATAAAATGTTTTATGACACACAGCATAATTTATATAACTACTTTTTAAACATTATTTCAAACCACATTTTAAAAAAAACTCATCGCACTAAAAACAGTGGAGGGAAAAGTGGTATATTAGAATTCAATTTTATTTGGTTGCAAAATAATCTTAAACTATGTGTAGAATTCTTAGAGCAAGTATCTAAAGCATGGTGGATTTGATTTAAATCAAACTGATTTAAATCACGATTTAAATCACTAGTCAGTAAGGCTTGATTTAAATCATAGTTTTCTACATAAAGACTAATTCTTGCTGATATAACTTTAATATGCAAGTAGATGAAGATTTTTAGAATAACAACTTTTCATATTAGTTTTTTTTATCCCCGTTTAGTAGGTTAATCATTCATATTTGGACAACTTTTCTGTTGTACTTAGGAAGGAGAAAAATAATCATTACCTTAATAATAACAATTTAAATAGATTTATTCAACTGAAACAATAACATTACAGCATATGTTATTTGCTTAAACAAACATCTATGTTTGTTAACTAATTTGGCTAAACAAAATATATATATTTTAAGAAACTTAGACTGTCAGCCCAGCCTACACATGAAAAACTTAAATACTGTCCTCTGTAGCTCACTCGTCATCTTCATCTTCTTCTTTGTTCATAATCTGGGAAAAAAAACAAGCTTTCCTGCTTTATCGGGTCCCAAACGATTTCTCAATTTAGAATGAATGAGTCCAAAGGAAGAGAATATTCTTTCAACACCTGCAGAAGAAGCTACTGCTGTTAAAAATGAAATCATTACTTGAACAGTCTCTAAATCCAAGTGCTTAAGTGACTTCCACCAGTTCACTGGTGTGACTTTCTTTAAAATATCTTCAGCAAACATATATTTCTTGAATGGTTCCCCCTTAGCTTTGAAGTTTATTATAGTTGGCATTACAGATGGATGATTGCTGGATACCCATGTCATAGCTAACTCCTCTTCCTCAGCACTTAGGTTTTGACCCTGATACTGGATATTGACAATATTTGCCAAAAAATGAACTGGAGACAGTACTTGTCCCATTCGTTTTTTTAATGCTTGTAATTTAATTCTGTCCATGTATAGTTCTGTTTTTAAGTGTTCACTCAGTTCCTTCCAAATTTCAACAGCATCAGCAATAAAACAGCTATTTTTCTGTATTTTGTTTAAAGCTTCAGAGATGGGTTTCAGGATGCTCAGCATATGTTCAACATTTCTCTTAAGCCCAATGTTGAGGATTTTGGCTGTGACAGTGCCATCTATTTTATCTCGATTTTCTTCACAAACTGTCATCAGAATAGGCCAGTTCTTGATATACTGCTCAAAACAGTCCATCACAGAGTTCCATCTAACATCTTGTGGGAGCGTTAGCTTGGTTCCACCCATCCTTTTCAGAGCTGCTGCAGCAAAATGATTGGTACGGAAGTATTTAGCAATTTCAACAACATTAGTCTTTATTTCTGGAACACTTAAGTCTTTGGCTAAGAGGTGCAGCAAATGAGCACTGCAACCATATGTTATTAGCTTTGTATTCCCTTCCTGCTCTTCTAAATTTCTTCTCATCTTGGATACATTTGCAGCATTGTCTGTGACCAAACTGCGTACTAGACATTTGAATTTTTGTTCACATGTTATTATAGCTTTTACTGCTACTTCTTGTAAGTATTCTGCTGTGTGTGCATTTCCTGATGTATCAATTGTTTGTGCAAGGAAGACTTTCCCTTCTTCTATTGTTATACAAGCACATACAATAGGATCATTGCGGACATTACTCCACCCATCAATACTTAGGTTAACAATTCTACCCTCCAGAGCTGTTGCACATTGCTCCATTTCTCTGTCATACATTTTATCCAGCAGTTTCCCTGCAACATCTGCTCTGCTGGGTGGACTGTATCGTGGTCTCGGTGACTGAACCATATTAATGAAATGTGGGTTCTCAGTCAGACGGAAAGAAGAGTTCGTTGCATAAACAAACTGGGCATTTTTTTCATCAATTAACTCTTCTTCTAATCTGCTAGTTTTTAATCACAAACTTATCTATGGTGGTTCCAGGAGGGAAGGGTTTTTTCTTTCTTTTAGGTGATAGTGATATGTGGCTGTGGGTGTCTGATGATGATGATGCTAATGAAGCACTATCCTGGATGTATAACTCTGAAACTGTAGAACAGGAGGATGGTGATCTTGAAGGTGGATAGTTTCCAGAATCCATGAATTCCCCTAAACAAAATAATAATAATAATAATAATAATAATAATAATAATAATAATAATTTTATTTCTATACCGCCCTTCTCCCGAAGGACTCAGGGCGGTGTACAGCCAATTTAAAAACACAAGACACAACAATAATTAAAAATTAAGATAATTAAATAGATTTGGCCGATTTAAAACCCCAAAAATTAAAATACCCCAATTTAAAATTATTATATTGACAGCCCTGCCTGGCGGAACAACAGGGTCTTCAGTGCGCAGCGGAACACCCGGAGGTCGGAGATCTTACGTATTTCCGGGGGCAGTTCATTCCACAGGGTTGGGGCTCCCACAGAGAAGGCCCTCCCCCTGGGTGTCGCCAGCCGACATAACTTGGCTGATGGCACCCGGAGGAGACCCTCTCTGTGGGAACGGACTGGTCGGTGGGAGGCTATTGGTGGCAGAAGACGGTCTCGAAGGTATCCGGGTCCTGTGCCATGGAGCGCTTTAAAGGTGGTAACCAACACCTTGAATCGCACCCGGAAGACCACTGGGAGCCAGTGCAGCTCGCGCAGGAGGGGTGTCACGTGGGCACAACGAGGTGCGCCCATAACCACCCGCGCGGCCGCATTCTGGACCAGCTGGAGCCTCCGAGTGCTCTTCAAGGGGAGCCCCATGTAGAGAGCATTACAATAGTCCAGCCGGGAGGTGACAAGGGCATGAGTGACCGTGCGCAAGGTGTCCCGGTCCAGAAAGGGCTGCAACTGGTGGATCAGGCGAACCTGATAAAAGGCCCCCCTGGCCACGGCCGTCATATGCTCTTCTAAAGACAGCCGTGCGTCCAGGAGGACACCCAGATTGCGAGCCCTCTCTGTGGGGGGCAAAGATTCACCCCCAATAGTCAGCGATGGCACCTGCTGACTATATCGGGACGCCGGTAGCCACAGCCACTCGGTCTTGGAAGGGTTGACTCTGAGCCTGTTCCTCCCCATCCAGACCCGCACGGCCTCCAGGCAGCGAGACATCACATCAAGGGCATCGTTGGGGTGGTCTGGGGTGGAGATGTACAGCTGAGTATCATCAGCGTACAGGTGACACTTCACCCCAAAACCACGGATGATCTCACCCAGCGGCTTCACATAAATGTTGAACAGAAGAGGCGAGAGGACCGACCCTTGTGGCACTCCCCATGCGAGATGCCTCGAGGTCGACCTCTGCCCCCCTGCCAACACGAACTGCGAGCGGCCGGAGAGGAAGGAAGAGAACCACCGCAAAACGGTGCCCCCTACTCCTAACCCCTTCAACCGCTGAAGCATGATACCATGGTCGATGGTATCAAAAGCCGCTGAGAGATCTAATAGGACTAGGACAGAGGAGCAACCCCTGTCCCGGGCCCTCCAGAGATCATCCACCAACGCGACCAATGCCGTTTCTGTGCTGTGCCCCTGCCTGAAGCCCGACTGGTACGGGTCTAGATAGATAGCTTCATCCAGGTGCCTGGGCAGTTGTCATGCCACCACACTCTCAACAACCTTCGCCACAAAACGAAGGTTGGAGACCGGACGATAGTTAACTAATTCAGCCGGGTCCAGGGAAGGCTTCTTGAGGAGGGGCCTCACCACCACCTCTTTCAAGGCAGCGGGAAAGGCACCCTCACTCAGAGAAGCAGTTATAATCCCCTGGAGCCAGCCTCGTGTAACTTCCCGGGAGGCCAGTACCAACCAGGAGGGACACGGGTCCAATAAACATGTGGCGGCACTAATCCTACCCAGAACCCTGTCCACATCCTCGGGAGCCACAGGATCAAACTCCTCCCAGATAATATTCTCAAGACCTACCCTCGTCTCATCCCATGCTGTTATTTTATTGTTTATACAATTTCTGCTTATTGTACACAGCACTGCCCCAAAACGAACATTTGCTTTTCTTCATAACTGTACCAAATGACAGTAACATGCAGTAATAATAAGAAATATAATTTTGCTCAAACATGACAGTTCAAGGCAGTCTTTAGAAATATGATTCAATAAAAATGTTTACCAACCTGAAGATCCTTCCTGTTCAAATGTGTTTCTTTGGTCATCTTCATCACAGCACTTCTCATGATGTTGCTTCATTCGGGCCACCAGGCCTTGCATTTCTTTCTTGCAGTGTTTGCAGTTTGTACAGATGCCTGCCTTACCGATAGGTAAAGGAACTTCATTAAAATATTGCCAAACTGGGTCTCTTTTACGGCCTGCTGCCATTATAGGTTTTTTCCTCCAAGGAAAGAATGTGATAAACCAGGTCATACACACAAAAAGATCCAAAGACTTGTCTGTCTGTGGCTGTGCAGTATTGTGCTCAGAAAGTTTCACTTTCATTTTGTACTGCTTGTCTGCTTGCCCCTTCCTCCTCACACTTAGTTTCACTTTCTTCTTGTGCAGATCTATTCCACTCCAAACAATCAGAAAAATATTATTTCCATTCTATTCACTGAACTTCTTGAAACTTAGCACTGAAGGGGTTGATTCTGTATTCATAGGTTTGTAGAACAATAGGATTAAGGTGTTTTTCTCAACTCTGTTCATGTTATAACATTTTTGCTGTGAAGAAGAGGCATGTGATCTCTGCTGAGTCAAATTCAGTTTTGAGAACTGCAAAAGTAAACCAAGCATCTGTGATAATATCTTGTAGGCAGAGAAACTGCCCAATAATTTTATAAAAACTTCTGGAAGAGCATGACATTGTGAATGGATTAATGGAATTTATTTACCAAAAAAATTAAACATATACAGCCTTATTCTACATAATTAAAAAACTAATCTTTATTTCATGATGGAATAACCTCTGGATGGTAATATATTTTCCTCAAAAAGCATTTTATTTAAAAAAATCCAATTTAAATTAAAAAAAAATCCAATTTAAATAAAAAAAATCTGATTTTTTTGATTTTTTAAAAAAAATCATTTATTTTTATCCACCCTGATCTAAAGTACAATTTTACTTGAATAGTAAAACCTGGTCTTGGGACTTCTGCTTTTTTACATGGAAACAACAAAAAATCCTTTATGCATTTTGATCTTTAATGCTCTGGAATTCACTAATAATCTGTTCTTTGCAGGATGTTACAAAATTAACCCCTCTGTCACCAGAAGTCATCAGTAGACAAGCTACAATTAATATAGGTAAGAATATAACAAATTATAGCTAGAAGTTGCTGAGTGGTATTAATTGCGTACTATTCATTGTGCAATGCCTCAATAGGAGCTGTTAGAAAATACTATATGACTTCCAGGCGTGACATCACTGGCGACTACAGCTAAGGTGGATCGCTCCTGGTCCCTTAGCTGGATTTTACCCGCCGAGCGGCGTGAATTGGCCACTGCCCACCTCATTGGGGTGGGTATAGAAGAGGGGAAGCTCTAGCGAGCCAACTGAAGTGCAATCGGGGGTTTGTGAAGGGAAATCCCTCCTTGGGATGCCAGCAGAAGAAGAGGGCTCCAGATGGTAGCCCCGAAGCCAGGCTCGCGCCCAGTGGAAGAAGATTTGCCCACACCACAGAGATAAGTGAAGCGGAGGAACCAATGCTGGGATCGGACTGCTTGGAGAGGTATGTGTACAAGGGAAAGCCGATGAGAGGGAGCGTGGGAGGCTCCATTGAAAGCGGCAAATCGACTGACAGGCTGGAGTGATTAAGCGGCGGCAGAAGCTGTACTTGTTAAGATTGCCTTTTGAGAAGATCGGCGTGGGTGTTTTCAAGAGTGCTGTGATTGAAGTGTTTTGTGGAAAATCCTGGGACTTTCTATATTCTTGAATCAGACTTAGCTGGACTTACCTGGGCTTGATAGTGAGTAAGGAGCCATTGTAACTTGCATTTTTGAGTTTCTCCGGAAGTGCTGAATAGTAAGAACTTCGCTGTGACAAGAGGTAGGAAGAGCTGATCTAACTGAAACTGAGGCAATAGCACCACCTTGTGGTGGCTTGGAAATTTACTGTGCAAGAAAAGAGGGGAAAGTTTTTTGTTTTTTTTTTGGCTGATTCACTTTCAGACATTGCACTCAATTTCTGGTTCTTGGGGATTGAATTGAGTAAAAAATTGGATTTCTGGCTCTTGACTCTGAAACTACTTTGTAATCCTTTTGGATAAAGAGCCAATGCATGCAAGAGTGGGGTAGGCGGTGGAAGCTTGCAATTATGTCAATAGTGACGAAGAAGAAAGTCTTAACCCTTTCAATGGTGCCTACCCACACGGCCACATCTCCAGCACTAAGAGGATTGGCAGATGATGTAAGACTCCCGGAAAAGGGGGTCGGAGGACAGGAACTTCAAAATATGCTAGATGATACAAAACACTATTACAAAGAATCAGGAACAGACAATGAAAAAGTTTGAAGATGTGCAGGAGGAAATGGCAAGTATCAAACAGGAAATCATGCACATCCACTCAAAATATGAGGAAGTTCAAGAAATATTAGTGGCTCATGAACAAAGATTTGACCGAGTAGAAACAAAAGTGGAAAAATCAGAGAATAAAATGGACAGATGCAAGTAAATTGAGAATTGGAAGGGGAGATAATTCATTTGGAGATGGATCGTGCTGCCTTCTATCTTAGATTTCAGAATGTGACGGAAGCAAAAGACGAGCAATGAAGATATAATCGGGGAAATAGTAGCTGGTGCGCTTGGCAGAGAGAAGGAATTGGTACAGAGTGGTATAGACGAGGTCTACCGAGTCTATACAAATTATACCAGGCGGAGTAAATTACCTCGTGAAATACACGTCCGATTTAGTAAAAAATCGTTAAGAGAAGAATTATATCAGAGCACTAGGGATCAAAGGATTACTTATAAGGACTGAGAAATTGTGATATTAAAGCAGCTCCCGCGACGTGTTCGTGAGCAAAGACAGAAATACCCGTTCTTGACAGAACAATTAAGGAAATATAGGGTTCCTTATCGGTGGTTGCTCCCAGAGGGATTGATGATGACGCGGCAGGAAAAGAGAGTGAAGATTGAGAACTTTCGAGATGCACACGATTTCTATGAAAACCAGTTTAATGCAAGCGAACCCGGTAATGAAGAAGAACTGGAACAAAAGAATTGCGAGAACCAGAAGAGTGACAGAACGGAAAAGGGCGGGAAACTGAAAGAGACAACGAAAGGAGGAAAGAGTGATATAAGTGAAGATAAAATCCCAGGAACCCGACGAGAAACAAGACAAACAACAAAAGCGAAAGCCACAGCGAAGTGTGGAAATTTGATTTCGATTAATATTAATGGACTAAATGCTCCAATAAAACGAAATAGGATCTTTTCAAAATTACAAAAATTAAAAACTGGTATAATATGTCTCCAGGAGGTCCACATTAGGAAGAAACACATGGATATATTAAGATGTTCACGATTGGGTGAGTTATACGTATCTCTGGCGAACCAAAAGAAGCGGGGTGTGGCAATTTATGTTCAAACTTATATAGAATCTAAAAAAATATACTCAGATGAAGAGGGAAGATTGTTAATGGTCGAAGTAACAATGTATGGTAGACGTATCTTGCTGGTGGGTATTTACGCCCCTAATAGTAATCTAAGGAAGTTCTATAAAAGAGTATATAAAAAATTGGTAGAATTAGAATATGAACATATTTGTATTATGGGGGATTTTAATGCTATAATGGATAGAGAGAAGGATTATAAATCTGAAAAAGTGGGGGGGGAGTGAAAAAGAAAGGTAGGAAGACATTGCCGGCAATTTGGAACCAATTAAGGGAAGAATTTGGACTACAGGATATGTGGCGGAACTTTTATCCGACAAGGGAACAGTTTACCTTTTTCTCTCCCAGGCATAAATCATGGTCCCGCATTGATATGATATGGATGTCATTGGAATTAGGAGAAATGGTACGGGAGGTTGAAATTTTAGGGAATGATTGGGCAGATCACAACCCTTTAATGCTTGCCTGGAAAGGAGAGCGCAGCAGAGGACGATGGATGATGAGGGCAGAATTGTGCAAGGATAAGGATTTTGTGGAGTTGTTAAAACAGGAGCTGGCTCTTTTCTTCCAGGAAAATAGACGAGAGGATACATCTTTACAAATAATATGGGACACGGCTAAGGCAGTGGTGAGAGGGGTCGTGATTAAATATATGGCCAAAAAATGGAAGGAAGATAAGCAGGAAAGACTAGAGTGGGCAGACAAGTTGGAGAAATGGAAATGAGATTACAAAAGGAACCAACAGATAAGATAGTGAAAGAAGCAAGAGGATTGGCGAGGCACCATATGAATTTATTGGACCAAGCTGAGTTAGTGCAAAAAATCAGGAGAGCAAAGCAAAAATATTTTGAATATGCCAATAAAGCGGGAAGATGGTTGTCAAGCAGATTGAAAAAGAAACTAGAAAGCAGAAAGATTAAATGGTTAAGGGATAAATCGGGTCATTTAGTGGCCAGTACTGGGGGAAAAAAAGAAGTGGCTTATGAATTTTTTCAGGAGTTATATCAAAGAGAAGACACTAGTCGAAAGCAATTCAGTTTCCTAGAGAATTTGCCAGGGGTACCAGATCAGATGATATGCTAAACAGAAATATCTCAGAGGGGAAAATAGAGGAAAGTCTGAAAAAACAGAAGAGTGGTAAAACCCCTGGAACAGATGGACTGCCTGTAGAGGTGTATAATGTAATTTGGGAAGTGATCGGGACCCACTTGCGTGATGTCTTTAACGAAGTGCTGAATGATGGACGAATACCAAAGTCTTGGGAAGAGATGGATATCTCTCTCCTTCCTAAGGAAGGGGCCGATACGACCTATATTAAGAATTATAGACCAATAGCCTTGCTCAATGCTGATTATAAATTGTTTGCATCCATCCTAACAAAAAGACTACAAGTTTTTTAAAATCAGTTCGTACATAGAGACCAGAATGGTTTCTTACCACATAGATTGTTGAGAGATAATCTGAGAGTGCTATTAAATGCTCTTAAGTATTATGAACACCATTCAGACAAACAGATGGCACTTCTCTTTTTAGATGCTTATAAAGCATTTGACAGCATGAGTTGGGAATTTATGTTATCCCAGCTTCGTAAAATGGAATTTGGCGAAAAGTTTACACAGGCGATACAAACAATTTACTCTTCCCAGGTGGCATGGGTTTTAATTAATGGGGAAAAAACAAAGGAGGTTATAATCAGTAGGGGTACGAGACAAGGTTGCCCGCTTTCCCCGCTTTTATTTATTCTGACACTGGAACCTCTCCTCAGGAAAATTAGGAATAACCCAGCAATTAAAGGACTTAAAGTACGAAGGCAGGAATTTAAAATACAGGCATTCGCGGACGACCTTGTCTTCATTGTAGAAGACCCTCTACAGTTGGGCCCAGAGTTGATAGAGATGATAGAAGAATATGGTAGAGAGGCTGGGTTAAAAATGAATAAGGATAAAACCAAGATATTGGTAAAAAATATTCCAAAAATGCATAAGGATATATTAGAATCTAGATTGGATGTTCAAATTGTAAATAAAATTAAATATCTAGGAATTTGGCTAACAGCCAGGTGCTCTACAATTAAGGAAGATAATTTTGTTAAATTATATGATCAGACTGTAAGAGACCTGGAGAATTGGAAAAATTTACAATTGTCTTTGATGGGACAGATAGCAGCAATTAAGACACATGTTTTGCCTAAATGGCTATTTTTATCTCAATCAGCTCCCGCGAGGCTAGATAAAAGGTTTTTTAAAGGTCTGGATCGAGTCGTGCTGAAATTTATTTGGCAGGGGAAAAGGCCTAGGGTAAAGCTCAAAATGCTACAAGAACATAGAAGGGGGGGGCTTTGGCCTCTCCTCCTGGGAACTATATTATCGAGCTTCACTGCTAGCCTAGATGAAGGATTGGG